TGCAAGCACAGAGAGAGAAACAGGTACTCTTCTATGGGTTAGAGAAAACAGTCTGAGCTGGGTCATTCTGGCCCGCCACCAGAAAACGTTGCTGACTGCTGCCATAGGTGGCATGCTGCCTTTTGTTAATTTTCTGAATGCATGGTGCTTGGTTTGTGTAGGAACAAACAAAACACTTATGTGCTGAGTGCTGCTGCACGAATGACAGGTCATTTCACTTAGACTTTCAGTAATTTTTATTGGAAAAAATACTGCAGTACACTATTGCTCATTGTTTGATGAGGGGATGGGTTGGTATGTGGCCCAAGTACTGGAAAATAAAGCACTATCCATGTAGTGCACTAACTGACTGGGTGTAAATCTCCATGCTTTCCTCCATGTTATTTTCTGCATTTTCACACTTTCCTCTGCACTTCTTGGTTCTTTTGCCTTTCCTTCAGTTTGAATTTTCTCAACCCCTTTGTTTTCTAGGTTCCCACTTTGAACCTCTTGAGAAGTTCAAACCAGTCTTCCCTTTTCCATATCTTCTTCCTCCTAATCAAGGTTTATCTTTCAACAGGTGTGGAAGGCATCTCTCTCAAAGACAATCCCACTGAGACCACTGATAACATAGACAGCCTACTTAAAGCAAAGATTTTTAATCAGGGTCCTGTGAAGTGCTGCATAATATTGGTACTGTTGGTTGTGCAAGCACCAAAACGTGATTCATGAGATAAGACCAGAAATTTCAAGTAGGAATCCACAGTGTCAAAACATTCTGACCTGTTGTGGCTTTTCCGAGTTCTTTACAACTGAAGAATTGTTCTATTATTGCTTGCCAAGATTATTTTATTTGACTGTTCACGTACTTTTCTTAGATTTTTTTCCTAATAATAACCTAGTGATTTATGCTGTTAGACAGCTCATTCACCTGTCCTAGGAAAGTCAGGGATTTGGGAATTTTTGAATCACTTTATTTCTCTTTGGACAATCAATGCCATTAAAATATTTAATTTTGTTCCCTGCTTAGTTGAAAGAATGTATGAAGAGGTTTTATGACCTGTAGATAAAATAGGAATAAGAAAAGCCAGCAGCATCAAGCAATAATACACCAATCTGAATTCCTTTCCACAACAAGTTTCTTGTCTGGGTCAGGCTTGAGCAAATTTCAATAAGGTATTTGTTCTCTGCAGTATCTACACCCTCAGAGTCTACAAACTGGTCAGACTCCACTTCCGGGTTTCTTCAGGGAGTTTAAAGTTATCCACGATAGCTTGCAGGAAATTTGTGGGACACATCCACTCAGCATCCTATTCAAAGCTACATACTAACAACAGGTAGAAGGCCCCCAGATTTCCACTGCCTTTTAACAGAACTGTCACACGCCAAATCTGTTATAATTTTCCATGCGCAGAATCTGTTTATCAGAGGGCTGTCTTGAATTCATCTCCCTCAACACTACAGCAGAGAAACAAATGGCCTGACGTCTGCCTCTTGCTGCCCTTGCACCTTGGTTCCCTTGCCTGTACCCCCTGCCATCTGTACACCCTATCACTGTGCTGCCCCCCCAGCCAAATTGTGGCTCTGGCTCCAGTTTGGGGCACAGAGCACATAGGGACTCTGGTCCTGGTCAGGTAGTGTGGTAGCAGCTCCAGCCCTGGCCTGGTGTAGGCAGTGACTCCATCCTTGCCCTAGGTTGGGGCCAGAGCAGCTTCCCTGCTGTTGCATGGTCTCCCCCTGGATCCTTGGCCCCACACACACCATGCAGTCTCCTCCACACTCCTCCTGCCTCGCTGCGCAAACCACCTTGAGCCACTCCGAGCCACCCTAACCCTAGCCAGGTAGCAGCAGAGGCCCTGGCCCTGGCCCTGGGCAGATGGCAGCTGTAGCTCTGGCTCTGGGCCTGAGTCAGGGTCAGACCTTCAAGCTGGAGCTGGAGCCAGAGCTATCACCTGCCCCAGGCTGACACTTGAATCCAAGATGAGGCTTCCTCCACACCCCCCACCCCATATTAAACAGGCGAGGTGGGGGTGGGGAAAGGGACGGACAAACCAACCAAAAACAACCAAAACACCTTGCCTTGGGTTCAAGTAAATATGGTAATAGGCATGACCAATGCATGTTTGGTTACTTCATAATTTTTTAGACCATTCATTTTATGTATACAACTTATGAACACATCAGTTTAATTCAAGAGCATAAAATTATGCTGATTTCAGGACATCAAGAGTTCTACCTTATTAAAGATCACTATTAGCAATACTTGGATTGAAATCCCAATGCCTGCAGCAATTCCTACATCTAATTAAGAGTTAGTAACTAGAGCTAGAAGCACTGCCAATATCTATTGATACCACTGCTGTTGCTAACATCTACTACTAGGACAAGACAATACAAGAATTTAACAATACATTTTATAGGTATACACACACGCAGAGATGCACGTACACTTTTTCCAGGATTTTTTTTTCCTTTTCTAAAAAAAGGCTCTTATAAAGATGAACAGGGAAGCAAATTAAAAAATATACAAAAACATACCCACAAGCACATACTGCAAAGCTAATGTCTTCATTAAAGAATAAAAATGTTGTCTTAGAGCATGCTAGTTTTTATTGGGTTATCATCAGAAACTGGAGATATTTAAACTAATCAACATCCATTCTTAGCATACTAACCCTTACAGATAAGTTAAAAATATTTGCTTCCTTTTTTGAGCATCATGAAAAAGATTTAATGGGAATACTGTATTTTTGAGGGATTAAGAGTCAATATAATTAGAGTTTTATCTGTAACTATAGAGATGGTAATCCATGTTAGTCTGAAATAATCAAGTAGAAAAAAGAAGGTTATTACCTACAAAATATTATGCCTTTGTGAACCATTTGGCTTCTGGGAGGCCACACTAACCTATCTGCCACTGAAAACCACAGATTCTGCAAACTGGTCATAGAAGCAGGTTGAAGAATGCCCAGACATGGACTCATTTGCTCTATATCTTATCATAAGGAAAAACTCAGGATGGAATTCTTCTTTCAAGTAATGCTGCATGCAAAACCTGTATTGGAATCAAAGGAATCTTCTTCTGATCATACCAGGTTTATGTCCCTCCAACTCCTTGGTTTAAGGAAGTGTGATTTTTCTAGCTCTGAAAGCTCATCAACTACCTTTACTCCCATCAAGGTATTTATCAGTTAGTTTTCTTTATTTTGAGGGAGGAAGATTTCAAATAAACCACACCACAAAGAGGTTTGACAGCCTACTTTACTTTTTTATCATTTATTTCCTTCAAATAATAAAGATTCCATTCCAATAAGCATAACTTAAATCCACTCCTGTGTTTACTACCATATTTCTCACAAAGAGGTCTTGTTAATTTTTAATTTAAAAGTTTTGCAATTCTTTTAAATATTTTGTAAGCTAGTGCCTCAGCCTCTTGAGCCATTTGGCAATACATGAAATGATAAGATCTTTTCTGTTTTAGATAAGGATGAAGACAAGCAGGTTTATTTTATTTTATTTGTAATTAAACCATCCAGATTCTATAATTTCTGCTCTCTATTTTTAGGGGTGCACCGATAGAGATTTTTGGGGCTGATACTGATTTTTAAAGAGGCAAACCGATCCGGTTTCCAACCTGTAGCCTGGCGGCTTGAAGAGCTGCATGAAGCTGGTAAGTCTGTTATGGAGGAAGGCGAGAGGGGAAGGAATGGAAGGGGCATGCAGGGGGGAAAGAGATCAAGGTTCTGTGGTGAGGAAGGGAGTGGGGCTGAGGCAGGCACTGCCCAGGCGGGGTGGGGCAGGTGCAGGACAGAGCCGGGGTTTATCCAGGGAGCTGCAGGGGGGGCAGCTCCTGCTGCTGTGCGACCCAGGAGGGCACAGGCCCCCAGATCTGCACGGGGAGGGCTGGGCTCTTCCACCTGCACCCAACCCCTCCTCTCACCGCTGCCCGGCCCAAGCCCAGCCCAACCCAGCCCAGCCTAGCCTCCACCAGGAAGAACCTAATGCAGCCCTAGCCCCAGCCTGCAGCAGCATCTGCCCTGCCTTGCACAGATCTGGAGCAGATGCGTTCCTCCCCCCCCCAAATGCCCTCCCAGGGTGCATGCAGCAGTGGGAGCTGCACCCCGCTCCCCCAAGCTCCACCCTGGCTGGGCAGTGCCTACCCTTGCCCCAGCCCCACTGCTTCCCTCACCACGGAGGCCTTGATCTGCTCCCCCCTACACACTTTCCCTTCCCCATTCCCTTCCACCACAATAGACTTATCAGCTGCATGCAGCTCTTCAAGCTGCCAGGCTATGCTCCTCACCACCCACATGCTGCACGGCGGCTACACGCGTGCACAGGGCATTTATCGGCCACATTAATCTGCCACAAGGCCGGTTTCTGATACAGACAATTTTCTTGATATTGGTGCTGAGCTGATATCAGACCAACGTATCGATGCACCACTATTTATTTTGTATTTCCAGCAAGATGGGGTTGGAGTGGTCCCAGCAGTATGCAAGAAGCAAGGGGAATACCCTTTATTGGACCAAGTGAAGAGCTGGGAAAGACAAGCTTTGGGACACAAGGTGCTCTTCTTCAGGTCTGGGAAAAGAAGCAGAGACCGCTTCCCAGACCTGGGGAAGGGCACTTTGTACCTGAAATTTTGTTTAACTTCTGGGCTGAAGAAAAAAAAAAAATATTACCAAAATATCCTTGCTTCTCTCTTTAGAAAGATGGTATTTTTCATTTTGAAGGGGAAAGACATGGGACAGAAGTTTATTTTAAATCTATATAGCAGAATACATGCACAATCTCAAACCAGAAGGTGCACACAACCCATAGTCCCATAAATGCTTCAGGAAAAAAAGTCTTGCATCAAACACTTTTGTCACGTACACTGTATTTGTATTTACTTTAAGGAAAGTTTTAGCACCATCTTCAGCTATCTCTGGCCTAGAGTTTAAAAAAAAGTGTGACTTTTATCATTAGTCATAAGAAATGCCTTATTCATGACACAAACACACATACACTATACACACCTGGGAATGAGAAAGATATTATTTTAAGAGTAGGGCTCATCGAGACTTTCTACCCCTCAAATCCTCATCATTTCCTTGACATGCAGAAGGGGTTACACCCAGGTTTTTCATCAGCAGCTTTCAGCAAAACCTAACAATATGTTATGATAATAAGCAGCAACAAAAAAGTAAAGAATCACTGGCTAGGCAAGGACCCAAGATAGGTTTTCTATTTGTAGAGAAAACAAGAATGCATGTACTGTAGAAACAGCAGTTCTGAACACAATCTGCCATATTTTACTGACTGCTGAGCTATTTATTCTGAAGCTTCAGAAAAAAGATGAAAAAACACTCTCAGGAGGCCCCTGCCTACTTGTATCAAGGTATCCATGAAACTCACAGATGTTTGTAAGCCAGATTACTTCTGAAATGCCAAAATAAATCTCTCACTTTAATCGGAAAGGGAGAGGCAACGTGTGTGCATGCATGCACTAGAGTGGAGTAAGGGGGCTGAGGTTCCAAACAAGAATTCTTTCTGGATTTTCATTAAAGTTAATTCAAGTCACAACGTGCAACACGACATAAACGAAGGGGAGCAGAGCAGGAAGACAGGGAATTGTTCTTTTAGGGTGTTAAAGTTCAGGGTATTAAAGTCCACTGATCTAGGTTTGCAATTTATGTCCCAAGAATGCCTTAGCTCCCCATGAAGCATAGGGTTATAATTTCTTTAGTCCTCAAAAAACCTCTATCCCCCAAAATCCAGATTGGACTGGTGGGCAGTAAGGTGGAAACTTAATCTATGAAGTGTGCAAAACACTATGAGATTCACCATATTATAAATCTAAGTTGATCAAATAGAGGAAGGTACTTCAGCGAACATCTAAACAAAAGCAAACCACCACACCACACTATGCATAACCTAACAATGTTTACAGGGATTCACCTGCAGACAATTTTAGATTCAGTTATGGAGAAGACTCTTTACTATTTGTGGGACCAATATAAGTTTATTGTAAAGCAGAAATATTTGATCTTATCAATGTCTGCTTTTCGAGAGGCAGTAAGTGCTAAGCAGCGAATGGACACTGTGCCACAACATTCCACCCGTGCTGACACTACAAGTTTTGATACCGGTTACACTACCTTCAAGGAGTAAGTAACACAACTTGAAGCACACAAAAGGTAGTGTGTAATACTATTAGATGAGTAGTATAAACACTACCATTCACACCCTGATTATGGAAAAAAGAAGGGAAATAATTTCAATAAAATTACAAATATCTGGCTCCATGGAAGTCAGTGGGAGTTTTGCTACTGACTTCAAGGGGGCCAGGACTTCATTCCAATGCTGAGCAAAATTTAGTAGTCTATCACTAGCCTAAAAAATAAAAGTAAAATATTAGAACAAAGTTTGTCATCACTGCTAAAACAATACAATATATTGGTTGGAAAAATAAATGTAAAGAGAACTCCTAATGCAGTGTTGTCACATTCTTTAAATATCTGCATATTTTACCATGCTGTCAATTAGCCTCAGGAAGAACAGAGATGGCATTCTGAGTTAGTAAATTTAATTAAGCCACACTCAAGCAGCTTGACTCCTTTAAAGGAAGCATCAACTGCTGTGATTTCTGTTAGCTCCAGAAAATAAGAATTAGATCTTCAGCCCTACCAAATTCCATCCAAAATAACAGCTTCATAGATTTTAGAATTTTGTCAAGTTATGGGAAATGAACAATGACAAAACATCAGGTAGATAATTTGTAGCTTTTATTACTATTCATTTTTTCAAAGTATATCCAATGTGAACTGACACAGCCAATTCCCAAATAAGTTATAAAATTATTAATTTTATTTCTCTGTAGATTATGTAGGAAAACACTGCCTGAACATTCTTTTCTTAAGCAGCATATAAAATATATAGTATTTTTAAAGAAATTCAAAAGCTGGTGATAACTGAATATAAGGTCAGCTGACAAAACTAGCAATGCAATTTTCCCCTTCAGTTCCCTTTTGACTTGTGGAACAGGACTTCCACTACCAGTCTAGCACCTGTTGCATTTCAGCAGCATAGCATACTATTGGGTACCAGTTCTTGAAATGATAAAGGGAATGACTGTATCAGGTGGGTTACAGAAAGTCAACATCTTGTTATCCAACATTCTGACAACACAAGCTGCAAGCACAGAAGAGGAAAATACTTGAAGAATGCAAGAGAAAAGGGGTTAACCCGTAGTTTGTACACTGTGTTTCCAAAACCAATATTCCCAGGAAATAAGTGCACAACATACGTTCTCCAAGAATGAAACTAACAATTGCCTCAGAACAAGGGTATAGCGAACAATATCTCTTGTTACGAGCTCTCAGCACATGGACTGGAAAATGTGGGTTCCTGTGTACACCACAAGTGACCCAGTATTTCATGGAGAAAGGACAACTGACATCGGCAGGAGCATTGAGACCTGTCATGGAAAGGGCTACGCGGCACTGGGAGTCCAGAAAGGGCCCGTGACAAACTCAGATCACCTGACACCCTCTGAATAGCACAATAAAACCCAGGACATCCAGCCATGAGGGAAGGAAGAGTTGCTTGCAGCCAGCTCTGCGCTCACTCTGGTAAACACATCGTTTAATTATTTATAGTCCGTTGCCAGGAAGAGGCAAGACGAAGAAACCGGCCTGGTCTCCCTTGCGTTCTGCCTGGCTCGCCTCGGCTCTGCCTCCGCGCACAGGTCATAGCGGGCCGGTTTTTCCCTGGGGCTTCCATAGCAGTTTCCGAAAATAGGGATGCTGCTGCCCCAACTCAACGTAGCCTCGCTTTTCATGGAGCGCCTGTTTACATTTGCTACCCCTGGACTAGACCTGACCCCGCCAGCTCCCCCTAGGTAACCTCAAGAACCACCCCTCAGCCACAGGCCTGCCTCAGACCACCCAATTCCTGCCTCAGGACCCCAGCCACAGCTCCTGTCTCAGTCCCCGCCTCAAGACCCCCCCAGCCCCACGCACACGCTTACCTCC